AGAGTGCCACCTACTGAATGACCATGACTGCTCCTGTGAAGATGGTTTCTTGATTTTGTATGAAAGAATTGCTTGTGATTTATTCTGAGATAGTTTTCAACTGAATAAGGCTGGTTTTTGTATTTGGAGAATTATTTATGGTATAACAATCGATTTGAAAAGCTGAAACTTTTAAATCATAGAGAACTGTGTCATTGTAGTGGCGTTTTCTTTTGACATTCAGAGGTGTTTCCTTATTTTTCTAGATATTGTCGGTATGTGCCTGCATCTTTTCATGACAGTATTTTTCCTCTGTATTGCAGGAAAAATGTGATCTCAGCTTCACTTCTCTGGGAAAAAAAAAAGTTGACAATCTTGAGTTAAATATTTGTAGAATTGGAAGAACTTCCTTAATTGTATTAAATTTGACATCTTTAACGGGTGAACAGTCACTCAGGAAAACAGAAGAAAAGGCATAAATGTCTTTCTTCTTGTTTCTTTTAAGAGGTGTGGAATGTATCATCCAGCAGCAGTTTAGGAAAAGCAATTACTATTTTATTTTTCTTCTTTACACTGACAGTTGCTCCAGAAGATCCTAGCAGAAAGGTTGATGGTGATACCATTATTTTCTCACATGTGCAAGAAAGGTCAAGTGCTGTCTATCAGTGCAATGCTTCTAATGAATATGGATACCTGCTAGCAAATGCATTTGTGAATGTTCTGGGTAAGAAACAGGTTTTATATTTTTTACTTTTCTTGGGTATTCAGTTGTCTCCTGCTACTACACAGACTGAATATGCTCAAGCCTTGCTTGAGGTCTTCAGGGGAGTTGGTTGTATTTCCTGAGCCCTGTAAAAAACAAGGGTATACATACCTTGTTTTTTGTAGAATATTCCTGAATTTCATGTTCACTATTCCGAAGTAAGAAGGATAGTTATGAAAGCTGGAAGATATTTTATCTCTTTGTTTGTTTATGTATATCAGGTAAACAGAAGCATAAGATGTAAGGCAGGAGTTAATATTCCTTAAATTAATATGTTTCAATACACTTACATTGACTGTGGATGTTTTGGATCAGACAATAGATGATCCTTAAATTGCTGTTGCAATATATGTTTATCTGGAAGGCCTCCCAAACTGTGTTTCTGTTTACAAGGCATTGTGGCCTCTCTAATTCACCTTGCTGAATTTGACAAGGCTAGGACCAAAATCTAGGCAAGAATAGCCTCTTCTGTGGCAACTGGTACATCTTTTGATTGAGAGACACTGTCTTTCAAATAAAAGAAAACGTAGGTGTTTTGCCAAAAATACATCTGAGCTTCTTTCTGCCTGCAGGTTTGTTTGGACTTAGGTATTCCAGTCTGTTCTCAGGAGTTTCTCTTCTTGAAGTATATTCTGATTTAAATTTTCCAATTGAAATGATTTCGTTTTGGTGACCATCCTTATTACTTGTAAACAGGGAAGAAGCATTTGTTTTTCACAAGATAATTTTCCTGCATTTACATTTCCTCAGGCTACTGGCAATAGAATGTATTTGGACCTAGACTGAGACCTTCAGATAAGGATGTTAACCTAATTCTTTAGGCCATTCTTAATGTCTTACTCTGTTGTATTTGCATCCCGCTATCTTTGTCTTTTTCAGCCGAACCACCAAGAATTCTAACTCCTCCTAACAAACTGTATCAAGTCATTGCAGATAGTCCTGCATTGCTACACTGTGCTTATTTTGGTTCACCTAAGCCTGAAATTGAATGGTAAGCTATAGTTGTTTTGCTTAAATTATGTAAAAAGGACTATGATAACATTGAAATACATGTTGATTAGAATATGCTAATACAATATTACATATATTTAATGTAGCAACAGTTAAGTTATCCCCACAGAGTCAAGTTTAAATTTCAGCATGTGATTCTGTATGTATTTTTTAATGAGGCAGTCCTAAGTTCACATTTTCTGAGAATAAAATGCAGTGCAATTTGTCTGTGATGTTGGATAATGATATTACTTTTTTAATTAAGGTTTAAGGGAGTGAAAGGTAGCATCTTACATGGAAATGAATATGTTTTCCATGATAATGGAACCTTGGAAATTCCGGTGGCTCAGAAGGACAGTAGTGGTACATACACATGTGTAGCAAGGAATGAATTAGGAAAGATACAAAATGAGGTGCAATTGGAAGTTAAAGGTAAGAATCATTCTTTCATCACAGGTTAATATAGAATTTCAGACTGTCTAAATATCTAATAGTCATTTTAAATTTCAGATCCAACAATGATAATTAAACAACCAGAATACAAAGTGATTCAGAGATATGGCCAAGTTTCATTTGAGTGTATAATAAAACACGATTCTACCTTATTACCAACAGTTATATGGTTAAAGGACAATGATGAACTGCCAGATGATGAAAGGTATGGAGAAAAACATTTGCCTTTCTTTTTAATTCTCTCTTTCATCTATTCCTTCTCCTGATTTTGGAAAGGAACATATTGACCTATTGGCATTTTCCTAAGAAAAATGTTTTATATCATCACTATCCTATATGTGGTGACTTACCTGGTCTGGTGGAACTATGAAGATAGAATTGAAAATAAAATGAGATATAAAAAAGTTTCAATTGTGCACGTTGACTGTGTATATCAATTGTAAGGAGAGAGCTGGCATAAGAAAGCCAAATGGATAATATAAGACACTTGTTGCTGTAGATCACAGGTAATTAGAAGTTTTATAGACTGTTACTGTGGGAAGATGGTCAAGAACAATGTGGAAAAGGCCGCTGTAGTCCTATAGCTTACATTACTGTCTAAGTATTTGCTGAAATAGACAAGTGCGTGAGATTTGGTAGTGTCTTACGCCATTTTCTTACAGGAGTACCAGTTATTGAAAAAACAGTGGCTGAATCTATTGTATTTACAGGTTTCTAGTTGGTAAAGACAACTTGACCATTATGAATGTAACTGATAAAGATGATGGAACGTACACTTGCATAGTTAATACGACGCTCGACAGTGTTTCAGCAAGTGCTGTGCTTACTGTTGTTGGTAAGAATACTCTCAAACTTTATGATAGCAGAACTGTAGCAAAACAGCATTAGATTTAAGATGGAGAACACAAACGTGGTTTTGGTTTCTAAGACAGAATACAGGAAATGTCAGCTATTTGTAAATATGTTTCAGGTTTTTAAAAATAATAGTCTTACCCTACAGTTTGCCTTTGAATCAACTCCTTAAAAAAGGGTCCAGTAACTACAGGACACATTCAGTTTCACGTTGTGAAACTTTTTGTGTAGGTTTTTATTTGGATCACATCTGAGCTAACAAAGTGGATTACATATTCTGTAGTATTAAAGCATAAATCTGTTATCTCAGGAATCTCTTTTGCTGCTAAATTGTGTTTTGGAAAGACTGAGCATGCTTGGTTCTATGGCTTTTCAAGGATTTTCATTTCAAATTAGTTCTTTCTATTAAGTTTCTATGATTGGTGATTGTTGTAAAATACATTACTTTGCCCCTTCTCCAAATTTGTAAGGCAGTTTTAAACAGGTGTCCTGAATGATTCTTTCAGATGAGTTCAAGTGGAGACTCAAAATCAATTATGCTTGTACTTTAAAATTGTGTTGTGATCTTATGCCTATCCAGGAATAACATACACTAAATGTCTAGTACTTATTTAAAGTTTTCATAAGATTGCTCAATTTATTTTTTTTCTTGATCTACCCTTTCTTTAAAAAAAAAAGATAAAGTATTTAAGAATACTTCTATATTTTTTCAGTGAAAAATTGTCAATATATCTTATTTAAAAATCAACCATTTACTCTAAATAAAGTAACTTTTCTTTGTCTCTAATAATTAGTGTTTAACTACCTACAGTATTCTGTTTCTTTGGCTACTAACTGATTAAATCCTTTATATTAATGTTCTTTTCAGCTGCTCCCCCAACTCCAGCTATCATTTACGGTAAACTAATACAAAGTTCTCTTTCTACATCATCTACCAGATATTTTTCTCATTTGCCTATTGCAAAATACCACATCTTTTCTATGTTTTTTTCCTTTTTCCTGTGTGTGTGTGTGGTTTCATCCCATTTTACCAATTGCTTCATTACTGGAGTACTGGACTTTGGAATTTCGTACTGCAAACTGCTTTGTATTTTAGGGAATGATTTTCAGAGATAAATTATTTAAATTAAAGTTGGTTACAGTGTTATAATGTTTTTCTCATAGAGAACACTGTAATGCAAATTAATGATATAGTAAATGAAAGATCTAAAAGGTAAATCCAACTGCTCATTGAAAACTAATTCACTATCAAAGAACTTGCACCAACCAAATGATGGTATGTTTTTACATTCCTTTTGATGACAGCTTTATAGGCCTGGTGTACTTTATTTCATAGTCCACTCGTAAAATGGTTAGGACTTTACTAACCAGTTTGATTTATGACTGATGAACTTGCTAATAAGCATTTTAAAATTAAAGCTGAAATTCCCCAAAAGATCTGTCAGTCAGGAACAATCTTAAATTTGACAGCCTACAGCCTTTAATTTGGTAGCCTTTTTTCTGAATTTGGGGTTTAAAAGACAGTATAATATACCTAAAACTCTGTTAAATATGGTTGTCTTAAGTGCTTTTATGTAAATCCTTTCACATTCAGTGAAAATTCTGTTGTGTTTGTAAATGAACTTACTCATTAGTCTTTACTTTATGTTTAACAAATCATAAAATTAATTACTTTCAGCAATTTGGAATGGACAATTACACCTTTATGCATTATAAGGATGTACATTAGCAGCTTTTATGGTATTTCTGGATTTTTTAAATGTACATTAAAAATAAATGTCTTAGTAACTTGCAATTAGTGTCTGTTTGAACTATACTTGCTTTAAATTCACATGCAAAATACTTTTAGTGATTCTAGAAAAGCTTCTTTGATGTGAATGCTTCTTTATTTTCCATGTTTTATTAATGTTACTAGTTACAATAGATAATCACCCATAATCATTCAAGGATAAACTAAACATGCTTTTCATACTTCTTTGCATCTCATTACATTTTTATACTACAGCGCAATCAGATATAGATGAAATAAAATATAGGTTGTTTTAAATGTATAAAAGTTTCCAGCTCCATCAGTTCTCCATTTTGTCTCTATTTTGTAACAGTTGCATGCTAGTGGTCATTAAGTCATCCTTACATAAGTGAGTAGATCTCCCCTGCTGTATTTGTGCAATTCTTTTGATTGGAATGTAAGGATTTTTTCAAAGATGAAATTACGTATTCTTGTGTGATGCTTTACTTCGTGTTCATTTGATTTACAGCTCGGCCAAATCCACCCTTTGACTTGGAATTGACAGGTCAGCTAGAAAGAAGCATTGAACTGTCATGGATACCAGGAGATGAAAATAACAGTCCCATCACAAGTACGTTTGTTTGAATCTATTGTGTTCACTTAACACCATTACCTTTACTGTTCTCAGATTCCAAAGAGTTCAGATCTAAATTTTGTGTGCAGCATGGAAGAATGGTAAATTCATTCACTACAGTTGCCATTTATTTTCATAACAAGAATTTACTGGGTGCCCTGTACTGTGTAGCCAAGCAGACTTATTTACTGCCCTAAACATCTGGAATTTTGATGGAAAAACCTGTGCTAGTTAACACAGAAATTGATACTGATAGGAGCAGTGTCTGACAAGGTCTAGTCTTACAAATATGTAGAGGGCAGACTTGATCATTAGTTGTGTATTTTGGAAGGAGAGAGCTACTAACACCTACATTAACTCTTGGGGAAGGCTTGGGGAAGGGTGGCTGGAAGGCTGTC